ATCGATTATTTCCACTATCGATGGGAGTTGGGAAATGCAAAGTCGGTCTTGGCCTTTCCGCTAACTTGGAGCATGTGCATGTAAATTTTGGTGCAAATCCGTCGAAAATTGCAGCCGTTCATTCGTTACACACACACACACACACAAACACACCCTGCCTTTTATAGATAGAGATTCAGGAGAGTAAGTACAGGGCGCGATGCATATATTGTCGTCTAAATAACGCAAAACTGAAAATAATTCAGACGACAATTTATCCATCGCGCCCTGTATAAACGCGAGTGAAGCTTCGACCTGTGATCTTATAATTTTATATACAGGCCACATTTTTTTTTTCAGGAAATGATTTTTTTTATATTATTTCACCTCATTTAGATACTATGGTGCAAGGGTCACTGATTGTAAGAGAAGATGAGAAAAAAAAAGATTACTAAGAAGAGAGAACAATAAAACAACAAGAATTAAGAAAACAGAAGATAACGATTGACATTGCATTTTTGAAGATCAACCTTGACTGGAAAGCAATGAGCCGGAAGAGAGTTCCACAAGCGCGAAGTGCAAGAGAAGAAACTATTAGCATAGAACTTACGGTTACATCTAAGCATTTCAACTGTAAAATGTTGAGAACTTGCCGAAAATTTAGTAATGCGCTTAAATTCCTAAAGTCTAAGTACCTTAGAAAAGAGTTCATCAGATGACGATGAAATTATTTATAGAAATGGCAAACTACATGACGAAGGCGAGAATTTAACTCAAGTCGAACAGCAAGGTCAGAAACAATAACATTGCAGATTATTCTTTGGATTTTATCAAGAATCTCTAAATATATAGCAGAAGCACCAGACCAGATGTGGCAGCAATATTCAAAGCAAGGATGAATGGTAGACTTATAAATATGTAAGATAGATTCTTCTTTGGATTTTATCAAGAATCTCTAAATATATAGCAGAAGCACCAGACCAGATGTGGCAGCAATATTCAAAGCAAGGATGAATGGTAGACTTATAAATATGTAAGATAGATTCTTCTTTGGATTTTATCAAGAATCTCTAAATATATAGCAGAAGCACAAGACCAGATGTGGCAGCAATATTCAAAGCAAGGATGAATGGTAGACTTATAAATATGTAAGATAGATTCTTCTTTGGATTTTATCAAGAATCTCTAAATATATAGCAGAAGCACCAGACCAGATGTGGCAGCAATATTCAAAGCAAGGATGAATGGTAGACTTATAAATATGTAAGATAGATTTCTTCTTTGGATTTTAACAAGAATCTCTAAATATATAGCAGAAGCACCAGACCAGATATGGTAGCAATATTCAATGGATTGACAGATGTTAGACTTATAAATATGCAAGATAGATTCTTCTTTGGATTTTATAAAGAATCTCTAAATATATAGCAGAAGCACCAGACCAGATGTGGCAGCAATATTCAAAGCAAGGATGAATGGTAGACTTATAAATATGCAAGATAGATTCTTCTTTGGATTTTATAAAGAATCTAAATATATAGCAGAAGCACCAGACCAGATGTGGCAGCAATATTTAAAGCAAGGATGAATAGTAGACTTATAAATATGTAAGATAGATTCTTCTTTGGATTTTATCAAGAATCTCTAAATATATAGCAGAAGCACCAGACCAGATGTGGCAGCAATATTCAAAGCAAGGATGAATGGTAGACTTATAAATATGTAAGATAGATTTCTTCTTTGGATTTTAACAAGAATCTCTAAATATATAGCAGAAGCACCAGACCAGATATGGTAGCAATATTCAATGGATTGACAGATGTTAGACTTATAAATATGCAAGATAGATTCTTCTTTGGATTTTATCAAGAATCTCTAAATATATAGCAGAAGCACCAGACCAAATGTGGCAGCAATATTCAAAGCAAGGATGAATAGTAGACTTATAAATATGTAAGATAGATTCTTCTTTGGATTTTATCAAGAATCTTTAAATATATAGCAGGAGCACCAGACCAGATGTGGCAGCAATATTCAAAGAATGGATGAATGGTAGACTTATATGTAAGATAGATTCTGGAGAGAAAACTTTGTGAATCAACTTTCCTAGCAGCAGACGTGGCAGTGGATTCGATATAATCTTTCTAAACGTTTGTCCGAGAAGATGAAATGGGTCAGTCTCCTGGAGGCTAGCATCAGCCAGGCTGATTGCAGGCATAAAAGAATCCTTGCAATCCGGCCTTTTTTTTTTAATCCGGTAAAGATTAGTTCAACATGTTTCATTCACATTTACTGCATTTGATTCTTTTAATCCGTTTTACTGATTCAGTAATCCGACAGAGTTGATATTTTTCAAGTAGCTTGTGTCAATTCATACTACAACCATTTTGATTCGCGCATGAATTTAAGCTTCTTATGAGTAAGCGTCTCTGTAAGCGAGCCTCAATGACTAAAATCAAAATAGAAAATTACTTTGAACTCTTGAGTTAGAACGTTTCACGGCGTCTCAAACGATAATTGGTTTGGTTTATTTTACGAAAAATAGAGCCACTTTACAATCAGGGACGCTCTATGTGAGCAGTCGAGATACACAAGTTGTGATTTTTAGTTTAAAAAACGCGAATAAAGCAAGTAACGCCAAGTAATACATCAACAACAAAAAAGTAATTCCCGTTCGTTCAATTGATGGAAATGATCTCCGTACGGTTTTAGCGTATTCATTTATTGTCATGGCGTTTTCTACTTGTGTATTTCATTTATTTATTTTGAAATTTTTATCTTAATTCAGACAAACGAACGAACGCTCGAAAATTCCAAACTAACGCAAAAGAAAAAAAAACTAAAAAAAGAAAAGAAAACAATGAAAAAAAGAAAGAAAATGGTTACCAAAAAGTAAGTGAACAGAAACAAAATGGTGGCAGCGCGGGAAAAATTTTCTAATGACTCGTTTTGAGCGGGAAATGAAATATGTTACACTTGCTCCTGACACTCCAACTTTCGGATTTCCTATCTGCTATTCCCTCTCCTCTTCCCCTTCCTCAACGTTTACATTCTCGCTCCTAAAGGCATTTATTAATTATCCAAGCGGCCTCACGGGTCGAAATGAAGACATGAATCGGATATTTCATGGAGTCCGCTTTTAAAACCTTTCTTTCTTATATCTCTTTATCTTTGATATATTTTCTAATTTATCCCCTGTTTGTTTTGTTTAATATTTCGCTTTGTCTCGTCTGTTTCTTTTCATTTCGACCATTTTGTCATGATTCTATTCTTTCTCTCTTCTTTCTTTGTTCCTCATACGGCGTTATTTCTTTCTTTCTTTTTTCTTTACTTCTCAGTGCCTTTCTTTCTTTTTTTTATTTCTCACTGCCTTTCTTTTTTCTTTATTTCTCACTGCCTTTCTTTCTTTTTTGTTTACTTCTCACTGCCTTTCTTTTTTCTTTATTTCTCACTGCCTTTCTTTTTTCATTATTTCCCACTGCCTTTCTTTTTCTTTATTTCTCACTGCCTTTCTTTCTTTTTTCTTCATTTCTCACTGCCTTTCTTTTTCTTTATTTCTCACTGCCTTTATTTTTCTTTATTTCTCACTGCCTTTCTTGTTTTCTTTATTTCACACTGCCTCTCTTTTTTCTTTATTTCTCACTGACTTTCTTTCTTTTTTCTTTATTTCTCACTGCCTTTCTTTCTTTTTTCTTTATTTCTCACTGCCTTTCTTTTTTCTTTATTTCTCACTGCCTTTCTGTTTCTTTTTATTTCTCACTGCCTTTCTTTTTTTTTTTTTCTCTCACTGCCTTTTTTTTTTTTTTATTTCTCACACTGCCTTTCTTTCTTTTTTCTTTATTTCTCACTGCCTTTCTTTTTTTTTTTATTTCTCACTGCCTTTCTTTTTTTTATTCTCACTGCCTTTCTTTTTTTTCTTTTATTTCACACTGCCTCTCTTTTTTTTTTTTTTTCTCACTGACTTTCTTTCTTTTTTCTTTACTTCTCACTGCCTTTCTTTTTCCTTTATTTCTCACTGCCTTTCTTTTTTCCTTATTTCTCACTGACTTTCTTTCTTTTTTCTTTACTTCTCACTGCCTTTCTTTTTCCTTTATTTCTCACTGCCTTTCTTTTTTCTTTATTTCTCACTGACTTTCTTTCTTTTTTCTTTACTTCTCACAGCCTTTCTTTCTTTTTTCTTTATTTCTCACTGCCTTTCTTTTTTCTTTATTTCTCGCTGCCTTTCTTTCTTTTTTCTTTATTTCTCACTGCCTTTCTTTTTCTTTATTTCTCACTGCCTTTCTTTTTCTTTATTTCTCACTGCCTTTCTTTTTTCTTTATTTCTCACTGCCTTTCTTTTTCTTTATTTCTCACTGCCTTTCTTTTTTCTTTATTTCTCGCTGCCTTTCTTTCTTTTTTCTTTATTTCTCACTGCCTTTCTTTTTCTTTATTTCTCACTGCCTCTCTTTTTTCTTTATTTCTCACTGCCTTTCTTTTTCTTTATTTCTCACTGCCTTTCTTTTTCTTTATTTCTCACTGCCTTTCTTTTTCTTACATTTTATTTTGTGATTTTTTTTTTCAAAAACACTCTCTTTCTTCATTTTCATTTTCTTCATTTATTTTCTTTCTATTTTTCTTTATATTTTTTTTCTGTAGTCTTCCTTTCTCATTCCTTTTTCTCTCTGCACGATTTCTTCCTATTTTTCTTTCTTTCTTTCTTTCTTCCTTTTAATTTCTTATTCCCTTCTATATTATTTTTTCATAACCTCTTTAGTTCTGTCTATGTTCTTTCTTTACGTTTTTTCTCTTTCTTTCTTCATCTTCTTTTTTGTCGAGTGTCGATAGTTTCTTTCTTTCTCTCGTTCGCTTCTTTTTCTTCCTTTCTTTCTTTTTTTTCATTCTTTCTTCATCTTGTTTTCATCTTCTGTATTATTCATCGTAAATACTCTCTTTCTTTCTTTCTTTCTTTCTTATATTCTTTCTTTCCACAATGATTTTCTCTTTTCGAGTGAGCGCTTCTTTCTTTCTACATCATTTTTCGCATGTCTCATTCTTTAGTTTCTTCCATTCTCTCGTTCGCTTCTTTTTCTTCCTTTCTTTTTTTTTCATTCTTTCTTCATCTTGTTTTCATCTTCTGTATTATTCATCGTAAATACTCTTCTTTCTTTCTTTCTTTCTTTCTTTCTACATCACTTTTCGAATGTCTATTTCTTTAGCTTTTTCCTTTTTCTCGTTCGCTTCTTTTTCTTCATTTTTTCTTTCTTTCTTTCTTTCTTCATCATTATTTATTTTCTGATTTTCTGAATTCTCCCTTTTTCAAACCTCTTTTGCTGCTCCATTAATTCCTATACTTCTTTCTTTCTTTCTACAACGTTTTTAGTATCTTTCTCTATTTGGTTTCTTCTTTTCTCTCTTTTTTCCTTTATCTTTCTCTCTTTCTTTCTTTCTTTCTTCCTTTCTTTCTTTCTTTCTTTCTTTCGACATTATGTTTTTTCGTATGATTTTTCATTGGTTTCTTCCTTTCTTTCTTTCTTTCTTTCTCTCCATTTTCTTTCTTTCTTTCGTTTGTTTCTTTCGCGCCCTTTTCTTTCTTTCGTTCTCTCCTTCTTCATCTTTACTTGACTCTTTTGGTATCTGCAGTATTGCTGCCATATATGGTCTGGTTCCCCTTCTATTTGCCTCGGTGTTCTTGATAGGCTCCAGAGGCGGATATGCAATATAATTGGCCATGATCTGGCATCTCGTCTACAGTCACTTTCTCACAGACGCGCCGTCGC